TCTGGCGTCAGCAACGGGCCCGGGGTTCCTGCCCAGCTTCCCTCTTCTTACCCAATCCCCTCTTCTGCACCCAGCTTTTTGTCTACCTTTGAGTCCTCAGCTGTGGTTCCCACGCCACCGGCAGCCCCGTCTCCCCTGGGGGCATGAGCTATGTGCCTTCGGGCTGGCTCCCTTCCATTTCTCTCCACATCTGCCCTGTCCAGCCCTGTCCATTTCCGCCTTCCGCTCTCTGTTCCTCTTTTCGCTGTAGGTCTCTTTTCTCCCCCCCCCTTCCCAAGGAAAAGTATGACTGCTCATTACAGTGTTTACTTCCACTCCTTTTGTTAACAGTCATTAGCATTTTCCTGTCTTTTTTTTTTTTTTTCTATAGTGATGAACAGTTGGGTCACGTTGGCTAGTTTTTCTACGTTAAAAAAATTTTTTTAAGTTTCTAGTTTGATATCTGCCTTGAGCCTGGGTCAGTTTTGCTCCATCCATTTTCCTTCGGGTGACCTTTGTCTCCATGGGTGCCTTGGGCTTTCTCCCCTGTGTCTTTCACACCCTGGATCTCCTGACACCCTCTGGTCCGCTCTGCCTCCTGCTGACACCAAACCCGCCCCCCTCAGCCCTGCCCTCCGTCTCTCCGCAGGGCATGCCCCCGATGACCCAGGCACCCCGCATCATGCACCACATGCCTGGCCAGCCTCCCTACATGCCGCCTCCTGGCATGATCCCCCCTCCAGGCCTGGCTCCTGGCCAGATCCCGCCAGGGGCCATGCCCCCACAGCAGCTTATGCCGGGGCAGATGCCGCCTGCCCAGCCTGTAAGTGTCTCCTTCTCCTGGGGTCTCATAAACAGCTAGAACATGGGAATAGAAAGGGACGGGTGGGGGGGTCTGTTGGAGGGAAAGAGAGGGATTGTTGGAGGAGCTTCGGTCAGGGTGAGGCTGGAGCGGCGACCAGAACCTGGTTTGATTCGGTGAACTTCTGCGGAGCACCCGCTGATGGATACAGCAGTGCTCTTAGTGGCTTGCAGGCTGGTGGGGGCAAGGTGGTGTAGACAGGCAACACCAGCGATGTCAGGTGAAGGGGGCAGAAAGAATTCAAGCGGGGTGGGGGTGGGAAACAGGAAGGTACTAGGTACCCCTAGACTCATGGGCTCTATCTATCACTTCCTTGCAGCTTTCAGAAAATCCACCAAATCACATCTTATTCCTCACCAACTTGCCCGAGGAGACCAACGAGCTCATGCTGTCCATGCTTTTCAACCAGTAAGTGGGGCCAGTAGCTTTGCAGGGGCCAGAGGGCAACGGCCAGGAGATGGCACCATGGGGCCAGGCCTCGGAGTTCTGCTGTGGAGCCCTGAGCCTGCTTAGGATTTGCAGGCAGGACAGTGACTAGAGGCCTAAAAGGTGGAAACTGAGGCCAGGCCCACAGCCTGCGGAGGTATGGTGGTGGCAAGCCTAGGGTCTAGCAGTGCGGGACCTTCCTCGACTTAGTGAGGGCTGGGGGAGTCCATGGGCCTCCTCTTTCCAGCCTCTAAATCAGAAAAATGCTTGGTGTGTATAAAATAACGGCAAGGGGTGCCTGGGTGGCTCAGTCGGTTAAGCGACTGCCTTCGGCTCAGGTCATGATCCCGGAGTCCCGGGATCGAGTCCCACATCGGGCTCCCTGCTCGGCGGGGAGTCTGCTTCTCCCTCTGACCCTCCCCCCTCTCATGTGCTCTCTCTCTCTCTCTCTCTCACTCACTCTCTCAAATAAATGAATAAATAAAATCTTTAAAAAAAAAAACAACTTATCGGGCGCCTGGGTGGCTCAGTTGGTTAAGTGACTGCCTTCGGCTCAGGTCATGATCCCGGAGTCCCGGGATCGAGTCCCACATCGGGCTACCTGCTCGGCAGGGAGTCTGCTTCTCCCTCTGACCCTCCTCCCTCTCATGCTCTCTGTCTCTCATTCTCTCTGTCTCAAATAAATAAATAAAGTCTTTAAAAAAATAAAATAAAATAACGGCAAGGTGGCATCGAGCACTGGCTAGAGGCCCAAATCGGCTGCAAAATCAAACTGTGTTGGTGGGAGATGGGGAAGATTGAAACCTCACGTGCTGGTAATGGGGTGTAACCACTATGGCCGTTGCGTTCAGTGAAGCAGGGGGTATGTGCTCACCTGGTGACCCTGCTTCTAATCTTAATATCCTAAAGATACTCTTAAGGTGAGTCCCAAGGGATGTGGATGGACCTCATTCCTCCGGGTGGTGGGGAGTTGGAGACAGCCTGGGGAAGAGGGAGAGGTCAGACGCGCTACTCGCCGTGACCTGCTCTGGGGCAGTTGGAAGAGTAGAGCAGCACGGATGGTTCTTTGTAACACGACAGGGAATTTTGAGAAACTCCGTAAGACAGAAAAAAACAATATCACACGTATATCCTTCTGTAAAACAATACGTACTTTGTAAGAACAGCGGCAGAAGGATCATAAAAAGTCAGGGTAGTGTTTATTTCTGCAACGGGGTGGGTGGGTTATGATTGGGGAATGACATGGGGGCAGTGTTCTGTTTTTTTTATTTTTTTTATTTTTCAAAGATTTTATTTGAGACAGAGAGAGCGCCCCCAGGCAGGGGGAGGGGCAGAGGGAGAGGGAGAAGCAGACTCCCCGCTGAGCAGGGAGCCCAATCCGGGGCTCGATCCCAGGACCCTGGGACCATGACCTGAGCCGAAGGCAGACGCTTAACGACTGAGCCCCCCCAGGCCCTCCTGTGTGTCCTGTTTCTTGATCTAAGTTGTGGTTGCATAGACATGGGTGTTCATGTTAAAATGTTTCCTTAAATGACACGTTTACATTGTGTGTACTTGTTTATGTTGGGGTTCCTCAGCTTCACACTGTGTGCATTTGGGGCTGGATAATCCTTTCTTACTGTGCATTGTAGGATGTGTAGCAGTATCCCTGGTCTCTCGGCTCCCGATGCCAGAACATTTCGGGGGAGATACCAGATCTGGATCCCTGAGGTTTCTTCCCTTCTTCCAGGTTCCCTGGCTTCAAGGAGGTCCGACTGGTCCCCGGGCGGCACGACATCGCCTTTGTGGAGTTTGATAATGAGGTGCAGGCAGGGGCTGCTCGTGATGCGCTGCAGGGCTTCAAGATCACCCAGAACAATGCCATGAAGATCTCCTTTGCCAAGAAGTAGCGCCTTTTCCCCCTGCCTGCCCCTGCCCCCTGTTCTGGGGCCACCCCTTCCCCCCCTTGGCTCAGCCCCCTGAAGGTAAGTCCCCCTCGGGGGCCTTCTCAGAGCCGTGTGTGAGTGAGTGGTCGCCACACAGCATTGTACCCAGAGTCTGTCCCCAGACATTGCACCTGGCGCTGTTAGGTTGGAATTAAAATGGTTTTTTTTGAGGTGCGGTTTTTCACAACCATCTGTCGTTTTTATTTTCTTGTCGTCTGTGCCGCCTTTTGCACATCAGAATATTCTGGGTGTTTGGACCTCTTAGCATGCTGGGGTTTGCAGCCTTGGGAAAACACAGAATAATGTAGTAACTTTGTCTACTTCAGGCATCTTTACTAGTTTGGAAAAATTTCTGTTTGGTCTCCATCAGCATTCAGAGCAGGAAATTGAAACCCAGGCTGCCGTGTGCAGTTGCGCAGGTTGTGTACTACACAAGGATGCCACCCACCTTTAAGGGGGCACTATTTACTTTGTAGATTCGTATGTTTTTTCCTAACTTGATAGTGTTAAGAAAGGTTTTTCTTTGCCTTTTTTGAATCTTCACAAAAATGCCTTCTGTCGTAGCAACAGTCCCCAGAAACCACGTTAGATACTTCAGGAAGAAAAGGAAGGGAACCGGGTGCTCAGAAATTCATTGGAAGGATAGAAGGAGTGGTAGCCTGGGTTTGAGACACTTGAGTTGAAGTTTGCAGTCTCTGATTGAGCTGCAGTGTGGACTTCAGGAAGGCGCCAATGCTGCTGATGGAAGTGCCCGGCCCACATGGGAAGCCACTGACCAGGCACAAAGGGTGTGGCCACTTCAAACACCGCTAATCTTCCCTACTGGCCGCCCGCCAGCCAGGAGCCTCGGGCAGGTGGCTGAACCACGTCCTGCAGTCCCCTGGCTGCAGGGGAATCTAGGAAATGGAGTTTCTGATTGGACAGTCATGTAATCTACCTGAAGCTATGGATAAGAAGGGAGATCAAAGGAGGGACCTTCTTTAGCAGTCTCTTAACAAACCTGATTCTGGAAAAAAAAAATTTGTTTTAAAGATTTTATTTATTTATTTGAGAGAGAATGGGGAGGGGGGGGCAGAGGAAGAGGGACAAGCAGACTCCCTGCCGAGTAGGGAGCCTGACAGGGTACTCGATCCCAGGACCCTGAGATCATGACCTGAGCTGAAGTCAGACGCTTAACCAACTGAGCCACCCAGGCGCCCCTGGAAATTTTTTTAACTGACTAAAAAATACACATATTGCTTAAGACCCTTTCTCAGGTCATGTACATAGAAAACTGAGATCATTTGCCAGAAGTAGAAAATTGACCACAAAAATAAATATTAGAAGAGCGTTCAATTCTTTCTGGTCATCTTCCGTAAAGGCTCTAAGCCCAAGCCTGCTCATGCTATGCTCGTTTCTGTTAAAGAGGAACATCATCCACGTTTGCAGTGATACTTACAGCACCAAATACAGTCTTTCTCCTTGTAGGATCCGAAAGACTGAAAGGAGAAAGGGATTGTTGTCTCCGCTGAGAGGCAGGCCTTATTGCCGATGGCAAGTGGAAACGCCTCGCCCACCACATTGGCAGCCGCAGGTTCTGTGGTCAGTAGATCCTGGTTTTTATTGTCTGCCTGGTGGACCCCCTAGCTGTTCCCCATGAGCAGCTGATGTCCCGGCTCCGAGCTTCATTTTCTTCCCAGGTAAGGGAAGAATTCCTGTATGTTAGTCCTGTGGTATTCATGCTAGGTACACACCACCATGGCCAACATACACCCACTGTCAGGCCCCCAGGAAGCACCATAAACTCAGCAAATACTTACCGAGTACCTATCGTGCTAAACACTCTTCTTGGCACAGGACACGCAGTGGTGAATGAAATCGACAAGCCAACTGCAAAAACTGCGTTCTGATAAAACAACTGGGGTGGTGGGGCTGGGGAACAGTCCCGGGTGATCAAGGAAAGCCAATCATCAGATGTGACTTTGGAGCAGGGCTGTTTCTCCCATCCACAGTGGCGGTGCTGGGTATTGGGTGCGTGGAGATGGCTGAGGTCCAGGCTTTGCCCCTGATGAATTCTTCCCCACCCCCAAGCCCATGCGGCCCAATCCACTTCCCCCTCACAAAAGTTTGGACTCGAGGCCATAGGTGAGAATGCCCGAGGCCGGGAGATGGCCACCCAGGAGAATGACCTTGGGCACGGGGATCTACTGGAGACGCAGTTTTAGAGGTTGAGACTTGAGTTCAGATCCCCCCTCCGTTTTCTCCTGACCTTCGGCAGCAGACAACTCCACACGCAGTGAGTGACGGGTGTGGGCCTGGAGCCAAATCTGACCCCTCCGTTCCCCGGCTCTAACCTTGGGCAAGTTTCTGAAGGCTGTCCCCTGCCATTTCCATGGCAGCCCTCTTAAGGTGATGTAGAGTGTCCCTTTGAGTTAATAAGATAAAAATTAGTGCTGAGTGCTCTTTATTTATTTTTTTAAAACATTTTACTTATTTATTTTGACAGAGAGAGAGAGCAAGAGAGGGAACACAAGCAGGGGGAGTGGCAGAGGGAGAAGCAGGTTTTCCGCTGAGCAGAGAGCCCGATATGGGGCTCGATCCCAGGACCCTGGGATCATGACCAGAGCCGAAGGCAGATGCTTAACAACTGAGCCATCCAGGTGCCCCCCTGAGTGCTCTAAATAACTTAGCTTTCCTGGTCCCTGTTTTAGTAAGGCGAGGCTCTTAGAAGAGAAATCGCTCGGTCCAGGTCACCCAGTCAGGAAGTGGCTTGTGAAGATAAATAGGGATTATAGTAGAGCATTGCAAGCCATAAGCCCCAGCATAAAATACTTGGTTCTTGAGAGTAGGGGCTGTTCCTGGCGATCAAAAGGCTGCCTTGTTCTGTCCTTGAGCACAGGAAATTCCAAGGTAGTTTCTGTACTAGCTCCCTGTTTTTTGTTCTTGGAGGGGCAGTGGAGGGGCCCAGGTACCCAAGCAGCCTCAAGAGAAGATGGAATTAAATATCTCAGCCTGCCTGTCTGGGCCTCTGATTGTTGAGGGGGCTGGGGGTGGCTGTCACTTGGAGTGGCCTGGGCTGCTTTGGGCCTATCTGGGTGTTTCCTTGGGCAGGCAGCCCTCACCCTGTCCTTGAAATGGTTCTGGCTGGGTAGCAGCCTCTAGGTGTTGTGGGCGAAATTTGGGACTGGTTAAGGGCGGAGACAGGACTGAGAACACAGGTTTCCTTGTGTTGCTGGAGAGAGGGAGGGCAGAAGGAAATTGGAGACCCCATTTCCCCCTCAGTCACTCTCTTGCTTGGAGTCCACGATGGCTGGGTTGCCAGTGTTCCTCGGTGTCCTCATTTTGCTGTCTGCCTTCCCGGGGCCTAGTGTCGGGGGCCACACCATGCCCAAGCTGGCTGACCGCAAGCTGTGTGCTGATGAGGAATGCAGCTGTAAGAGTTGGGGGTTGGGGGGCCTGGGGGCTTCGCTGCCAGCCCATGTGGGGGGTGCTGTCATTCCCTTCTATTCCTTCCCCAGACCCCATCTCCATGGCCGTGGCCCTTCAGGACTACGTGGCCCCCGACTGCCGTTTCCTGACCATACACAGGGGCCAAGTCGTGTATGTCTTCTCCAAGCTGAAGGGCCGAGGGCGGCTCTTCTGGGGAGGCAGTGTGAGTCTTGGGAGAACAAAAGAGGAAAGGATATGGGGCTGGGGTGGGAGTACACCCTAATTTTCCACCCAAAGGGAAAATTTGAGGGGTGGACTGAAATAGTTGGGGGGGGGGCAGGGGTATTGTGATCTACTTGGTTTTTACCTTGTTGAGCCATTATGGGGCACCCACTATCGTGCCAGGCCCTGTTCCAGACCCTGAAGATACAACAGCGAATGATCCCTTTTATTCTAATGGAAGGAGACAAGCCATCAAAAAATATCAGCAAATACGTGCTCCTCTGAGAATTAATACACACTGACTGGGTGGCTACTTCAGGTGGTCAGGGAGGGCCTCCCTGCAGTGACTGTAGGCTGAGATCTGAGTGACAAGCATGGAGCCAGCCATCTGGAGATCAGGAAGAAGAAAAGTGCTATGATCTTCAGCAGGAACAAGTTTGCCATCTTCCCAGACCCAGGCTTTGCCTTCTTCCTCTCCAGGTTCAGGGAGATTACTATGGAGATTTAGCTGCTCGCCTGGGCTATTTCCCCAGTAGCGTTGTACGTGAGGACCAGACCCTGAAACCTGGCAAAATCGATGTGAAGACAGATGTGAGTGTCTTGGGGGCTGGCAGGGATCCAGAGGGAGGACCCTGGGGTTGTGATGATTGACAAAGATACTCCTGCTTTTGGCGCCCTGGCAGCGTGGCTGTGTGCGCTAGGACAAATTCCCTGCCTCGGTTTTCTTATCTGTAAAATGGGGAGTGATTTTTAAGTCCCTGTCAGATTGAGAGGTGCAAAGATCAGGGAGCTCTGGCCTAATTTGCATAGCACGTGTTTGGCCAAACCTGGCCCCCGTCGCCACAGCCTTTGCTAAAACCACTAGATCCTTTGTGGTACGACCGCTGATTTTCTCCGCACTGTTTTCCCTTTCTCTTTTTCAGAAGTGGGATTTCTACTGCCAGTGAGCACAGCCTACCACTGTTCCTGCTGTTTTTTTCTTCCAGGCTTTATGCAAATATATCAGCCAAGTGCAAAATGCGGGTCTCTGTGGTCTTTATGGGGGGGGGGGGGGCGGAAGGAGGTGTAACAAAGGAAATGTTTCCCCAGGTTCCTGAATTTAGCCAGTCAGCCCCCTGACTGTGGTAACGTCAGTGGTTGCTAGGCAGAGTTCCACTGACTAAAAGCTCTTTGCTCCATGCTGGGTACCGCAGGTGGGCTCCTAAGCTTAGATATCACACACAAACAAATGAGAAGGCGGAATAACCCAAACAGCCCGGTTGCGGGTTTTAGTGTCCTCTCTGGACCAGTGGGAGTGAGTTGAACTATTGGGAATGAGCCAACCGGACCATGAAGAAGACATAAATCACAGAATAGAGGTTTTCGTGGAAGATCATCTGCAAAGGGAGGTGGGAGGTTAGCCTGCGCGTATCCCCCCCACCCCCGAGTTTTCGTCTTTTTTGCCTTTGAGGTCAGAAAGAGCGCTCGCCAGCTCAGTATCCGCTCTTCTTCAGGGTCTTTCTGTCAATCCTGTCCATGCCCCCTTTGCAGCCATGTCCCCGCCCCCAGGTCCGCTCCTACCCAATCCAGAGTCTCGACTCTTCACCCGTACTCCTGACCAAATCCGTTTCTCAGCTCGGCTAAACATCTCTGTACGGTCCATTCCCACCTGCTCCGCCAATCGCTCGTCTTGGTCCCTCCCCCTCTGACCCGTCCCCTCTCACGCCGCCAATCCGCGCCTTCTGTTCCGCCTCCTGGCCGTCGAGCTCGCCAATCCCTGTCTTGGGGAAGCGTGGCCTGGTATCCCGCAGCCCTAGCGGGTCGCGCCGTAGGGGGGTGGAGGCGGAAGTGGCGGCGCCGGCCCCGGGAGTAGGAAGGAGCCGGGGCTGCAGCCGGAGTGGAGTGGCTGCCAGCCGAGGAGCAGGCGCGGCCGCGGCGCCATATTGCGGCCCCAAGCGGCCGCGACCGAGTCATGGCCGAGACCTACGGTGAGGGTGGTGGGCCGAAGTCGGGGTCTGGGGTCTGGGCCCAGGGAGGATGCGGCCTTTGGGGAGTGGGGCGGGGCCTTAGGTGCCAGGGGGCGGGGTCTGGCATGGGGCAGGGCCTAGTGGATGCTGGGAGGGGTTTAGTGGGTCCGAGGCTGAGCTCCATCGATTTGGGCGGAGCCTGAGGGTCTGGTGTGTGGGTTAAATAGATCTGGGGCGGGATTTGAGGCAGCCAGCCTTGATGGACCTGCGCAGGCCTGGAGGGAAAGGGTGAGTCTTAATGTGTCGGGGCGGAGCCTGAGTGGATGGGGTGGGGCTGACTCTGTGAATGGCAGGGCTTGAGGATGGTGGGCTGGGAGAACCCTGAGGGGATGCTGTGGGACCCCGGGACTGCTCTGGCTTGAGAGGTCTGCAGTGGGGTTGGGGTTGAGTTGTCCTTGAATTAGGTGGTGGGAGGGACTGGTGGCAAGGGGTGGGGCTTAAACTTAAAAACAGGGGCAGTACCTTGGGTAGAGGGAGGGACGGAGGGACCGAGAATTGGAAAATCTGGATGGATGGATGAAGAGGAGGTGGGAGGGCAGGGTGCGGTAGAAGCAGCAGTAGTTTAAGAGTAAGAAGGAGCTACATTCCTTCAACAAGTAGAGAAAAGCCGAGGGAACAAGTGTAAAGACCCTGAGGTGGGAACCAGCTTGCAATTTTCAGGAAGTAGACTGAAGGCCAGGGTGGTGGGAGGTGAAGTCATGAGGGGCAAGGGCAAGGCTGTAGTCCTCGGTAAGATGGCTCTCAAGAGGCTTTAACAAGGTAAGAGCTAAGCTTTTGAACTCTGGAGCCAGCTGACCTGGGTTCGAATCCCAGCCCTGCCCAGCTATGGGATCTTGGGCAAGCCAGTTAACCTTTCTGGCCTCAGTTTCCTCATCTGGAAGATGGGGATACTTGTTAGTATACCTCCCTCGTAGAGTTTTTCTGAGGAATAAGTGAGCTTGCTGTAGTAAAGAACTTTAGAACTGTGCCTGTTACGTGGTAAGCACTGTATAAGAATTGTCTGTTATTGTTGTTACTGTTGCTCTGTTTCTGCCTGTGTCTGTTTGTCCCCTTGTAACTGTGATGGTCTCTTGGTTTCCATGTTTTGCCCTGTATCATTCTCTCCATATGGGTTTCCCTGATCTTGGCTCCATCTGCTCAGACTTCCTCTTCAAATTCCTGGTGATTGGCAGTGCAGGAACTGGCAAATCATGTCTCCTTCATCAGTTCATTGAGAATAAGTGTGAGTTTCTGGGAGTGGTCCCGGGAGCACTGAACAGTGGGTGTGGGCATGGCGGGGGCAGGGGCAGGGCTGGCTGCCTGGCCCTCGCCTTTGCTAGATCCTCCTTGATCCTCAGTCACCCCAGCAACGAGAATGGTTTTGTACAGGCTGAGGAGGCCTGGGAGGACAGGGAATCTTCTGAGCCCCTGCACTGCCTCTTCTCTCCCTCCCACTCCCAGTCAAACAGGACTCCAACCACACAATCGGCGTGGAGTTTGGATCTCGGGTGGTCAACGTGGGTGGGAAGACTGTGAAGCTCCAGATTTGGGACACAGCTGGCCAGGAGCGGTTTCGGTAGGTGGGCCGGGCTCCCAAGGGAGAGGGGCAGAGGAGAGGGGAGAGAAAAAGAGAGGAAGACGGAGTCACAGAGCCGTGTGCAGTCACTTGGAGATCTGACAGGAGCACAGGGACAGTGAGAGGGCAGGCAAGGCCGAGGGAGAGAGACAGAGACTGAGTGCAGGTGCCTATAGCCAGAGAGAGCAGGGGTCCTGGAGAGAGAGCAGGGGTAGCCAGGGAAAATGAGGTCGAGAAAGAAGCATAATGAAGGGAGAGACCCATGGACCCTAGAAAGACTGCAGTAGACCGACCCATATGGGTGGAGGGATGGAGACTTGGGCCTGGGGAGAGGCGTTTGGGATGGGGGCAGGCGACAGAGGTGGAAAGAGAGAGATTGAAAAAGAGGCAAACTAGAAAAGAGATACACTCAGAAAGGGACAAAGAAGGACAGAGACTGAGAAGAAGAGCAAGGGAAGGTTGATAAAGAGACACAAAGAGAAACAGGTCAGAGCTAGAGACCGGGAGGGTGGGACAGGCGGAGCCAGAGAGATGGAGAAATGGGTGTGTGTGGCGGAGGGGAGAGAACCATGTGGGGCTCAGCACACAGTATGTCTTCAGGAAATGGCTGCAGACAAGGTGGTAGATGCGTGGAAACCCTGAGTCTGAGAAACAGAGACAGCGAGAAGAGGGACATGAGGAAGTCGAGTCCATGGAGAGGTGTGGGCCCGGGCCAGCACATAGTAGCTGCTAAGTTAATATCGGTGTGTTGCTCTGCTGTGTGAGCGAGACAGACAGGGCGAAGGTACGTGGCATGTGCTGGGTTTGCAGTACGTGTTCAGTGAATGCTTGTGGAATGATTGCCTGAGTTCGAGGAGGAACAGACAGGTGACACAGAGATGCAGGCTGTCGGCCACCCTGGGAACGGGGCCTCCCCGAGACATGGCAGGAGAGGGACAAGCAGATGTCATCAGAGCACTTGACCAGGACTGGGCAAAGGGGAGATGGCAGGAAATGAGGAAGGAGCGAATGCGTGAGGAATCAAGAGTGAGGATGAGAGAACCAGAGCCAGAGCGACAGATAGACAGACCTAGGGAATGAGAGAGACACACACGTAAGAGAGAGAGACAGAAAGACGCAGACCAATGAAGAGATACAGAAAGACAAGGACACACAGAGAGTCCAAGACAGGGAGACTCTGACAGAGGCAGACAGACAGCTAAGGGAGACAGAGATTGAGGGAGACAGAGAGACCAGCAGAGAAGGAAATTGTGAGACCAGACCGCCGACAGCTTTTGGGGGGATGGGCCAGCAGTAAAGGGGGGGCCTCCGAACCACCAGTCTCTCTCCGCAGAGGGGGGCAATCTCAGGGCAGTCGGGGGTGACTGGGTCCCCCTGGCCCCACAGGTCGGTGACACGGAGTTACTACCGAGGGGCGGCTGGAGCCCTGCTGGTGTATGACATCACCAGGTGGGTGCACCGAGAGGGTGGGGCAGGGCCTGGGCGGGGCCCCTATCCTGGGCCTGCCTCCCTCCCTCCTCTCTCCCTTCTCCATAGCCGGGAGACGTACAACTCACTGGCTGCCTGGCTGACGGACGCCCGCACACTGGCTAGCCCCAACATCGTGGTCATCCTCTGTGGCAACAAGAAAGACCTGGACCCTGAGCGTGAGGTCACCTTCCTGGAGGCCTCCCGCTTTGCCCAGGAGAATGGTGAGGACCCTGTGGTGGGCCAGTGGGGGAGGGGCCTCAGCAGAGGGGCGGGGGCTGTTCACTGTGGCCCGTGGGCCTCAGGGCTGTCTGTGGCTGTGCCTAGCAGGGGAATGTGGAGATTGAGGGTCTGGGTTCAAATTCGAGTGTTGCCACCTGTGAGCTGTGTGACCATTCTGGTCCCGTTTCCTTGTCAGGGAAGTGGGAATCACAATGTTTCTGCCTCGCGTAGCGTGGGCTGGTTAAGGGGGTCGGGCACTGGAGAGCCCTCTGGACTGCCTGGATGCTTGATTAATGTTGGCTGCTAAGAAGCTTTCCACCAGTGCAGGCTGTTGGCGTAATGTGGAGGTTGCAAACTCCAATGGCCCGAGAGGACAGGCCTATTTTGGGAATAAGGGAGATAGGACAGGGTAGACCCCAAGTTAGCAGGCACTAGCCTTAGGGGCGTGGACAGGACCGACAGCCACATCAAAAGGTGTGTGAGTATAAACTCATTTGGAAACTTCGTGTTGGCCAAACACCTACTAGCTTAGGGTTTGTCCGTGTCCCACCAGTTGGTAACCTCCAGATTTGGAGGATGTTTTGCCAATCCGAAAGATGTGGGCTTGAGTCCTGCCTCTTACTTTCTGTGAGGCCTTGTCATGTGGCTGAAGGGTGGACTGTGGTGGGCCTGGGCCTGTCCTTGATGGTGCTGGGGACATAGCATTAAAGACACCCTGGGCCCAGCTCTCGTGGGCTCACAGTCCAGTGGGTGGGGAAGGGACCCTTTCCAAATAGTGACAGCCCCGAGAGGTCAGGGCTGGGATAGGGGAAGCACAGGGGGCTGTGGAAGCCCAGGGGGCGGGGAGGGCACCTGATCTGTGCAGGCAGGTCAGGGAGAACTTTCTGGAGGAGGAGGTGTGTAGGCGGGAACCGCCTGGGGAGGGGGACCCTCCGTGGCAGGGCAGCAGCCTGGGCGAGGGCCTGGAGTGAGGGCAGAGGTGGAAGGCTTGAGGAGCAGAATGAGAGGTGGCAGGTCAGAGTCAAGGGGCGGGTGGGGACTGACCGAGGCCTTGCCCCCAGAGCTGATGTTCCTGGAGACTAGCGCCCTCACGGGTGAGAACGTGGAAGAGGCTTTCCTGAAGTGTGCCCGCACCATCCTGAACAAGATCGACTCAGGTGAGGCCCCTGACTGCCCAGAGTGGGAGCGGGAGCGGAAGGCAGGGCCCAGAGGTCCCCAGGGGACCAGTCCTGACCTCTCCCCTGCCGCCCCCTGCCCCCAGGCGAGCTCGACCCTGAGAGGATGGGCTCAGGCATTCAGTACGGGGACGCCTCCCTCCGCCAGCTGCGGCAGCCTCGGAGTGCCCAGGCCGTGGCCCCTCAGCCCTGTGGCTGCTGAGACGTGTGTGCAGAGCCAGGTGGGAGCTTGGGGCCCGGGGACGGCAGGGGTGGGGTCCTGGCAAGGGGGACTACGGAGCAGAGACAGAGACATAGAAAAGGAGAGGCGATGAGAGAAAAGAGTGAGAAAGATGCAAAGAGAGTCGAGTGAAAGGAGCCATCGTCCTGGCCTCGGGGATGTCCTTTCCATCTTGCCACCAGCTCACGGCCCTGGATCTCTGACCCAGCTGTTCATAATTCAGCAAATATCTATCGAGTGTCCGCTGTGTGCCAGGTCCTGTTCAAGCAGTGGGCCAAACAGTCCCTGCCCTCGTGGAGCCAACATGCTCTTGGGAGGAGACAGGCAATAAACAAGACACATGAGAAAATGACGTGGTAGTTAAGAAGATAAGAGCCATGGAGAAAAATAAAGGGAAAGCGGGGGGTAGGGAGGTGAGGAGTGGAGATTTTCGATGTTGAGGGAAACCCTCACTGAAAAGGTGACAGTTGAGCAAAGACCTTAAGGAAGGGAATGGGGGGGGTATCATATGGGTCCCTGGGGGATGAGTGTTCTAGGCAGAGAGAACAGCCAATGCAAAGGCCCTGAGGTAGGGGCATGCCTGGCCTGGATGAGGAAGTCCATGGAGGCCAATGTGGCTAGAGTGGAGTATGTGTGTGCATTGGGAGGCGGGGGAGGTGAGAAGGAGTTGAGGTCAGGGGTGGGGGGAAGCAGATCGGATAGGGCCTTGTTGTCCATAGGAGGTTCTGGGTTATACCGTGGGTTGGATGGGAGCCATGGGAGGGCTCTGAGCAGAGAAGGGACAGGACCTGATTCAGGTGTTCCCAGGATCCCTCTGGCTGCATACAGAGGAGAGGAGGGGGTGGGCAGGAGTGGTTGCTGAGAGACCAGTGAGAGACTACTGCAGAGTCAGGCTGAGAGACAGTGGTGGACAGGATGGAAGGGTGGTGGCGGGCAGAAGAGGGACTGAGACGTGGCTAGGTTTGTATCCTCCCTGGTCTCTGTCTCCAGTCTTGTCCCCTCTTGATGTAGCCACTGGGTCTTTCTAAAGCACACATCTGATCCTGTCCTTCCCCCGTTTAAAACCACCCATGGCTCCCAGGGTCCATGGGACAGAGCCGAAGCTCCTAGCCTGGTGTTTGCCCTTGTTAGCCTCACCTGCCTCAACTCACACCTCTCCCCACCACTCAGGCCGCTGCAGGCACCCTGGAGTTCTTCCCATTTCTCTGGGTCTTTGTTCATGCTGTTCCCTCTGCCAGGAACACTGTTCCTTCCCTCTCTTCCCTCCTCCCTCTCCTCCAGGAGGCCTTGCTTCCCCTATGCTTGGTCCACACTCCTTGCTGGGCTTGCAAGGTCCTACAGGATGAGGTCCCATCCCCACCTCTTTGAGAGCGTGTATGTCTTGCCAATTCTCCCCTGTGCTTCACGCCCCTGCCCCCCTCCCCTGCTTCTAGCCATTGGCGGCTCCAGGGTGGCTGTGGGGAAAAGTGCTCAGACCTTGGATATACTTTGAAGGCAGAGCCAACATGATTTCCTGATGAATGGATATGGCATTTGAGAGAGAGGAGTCAAGGGTGAGTGTTTTGGGCAGCCCTGTTTCCTTCATGCCTCTGCATCTGCCGTGCCTCAGTGGACGTGCCTGTCCTCCAACCTCCTTTCTTCTGCCAACTGCCCCTCATTATCTGATCTTTGCCAAATGATTCTTCCTGCAGGATACCTTTATTAGCTTCCCACATGGGGTCCCTACCTCTAGCCGGGTGGTTTCACAGCTGCCCCCTACTTTTTAAAGCATTCAGCTCTGAACCCTTGATCAGTGCTGCGTTTGTCTTCCCCATCTGAGAAGGGAAGGAGGTGACAGGTCAGAGATTCCAGAGCCGGGCTGCCTGGGTTTCAACTCTGATTCTGTCATTTCCTATCTGCGTGACTCTGGGCAAATTATTTAATCACTCTGGGTTCTTGGTTTCCTCACCTGTAAAATAATAGTACCTACCTCCTCTGGGTGTTGAGAAGATTAATTACATCAATACATGTAAAGTCCTTAGCACAGGGCCTGACACTTTAAGACTTGATAAATGAGGGCTGTTTGTTATTTTTCTTTTGACTATCCATTTTAAAGAGTCTGGGCTGTGTAGAAATGGATGGGTATGTATTCGTCACCTGAGGGCTTTAGTATAGCATCCATTTCAGAGTTTGCCCTCAGTGAATCAAATGGAGTAAGAGCGCTTTTTCAAACGTTGTTGACTGCACTCTGCAGGAGAAAATACATTTTATATGTCTCAATCTGATACAGTTACACACACATAAAGCTGAAACATATTTTCCTAGCACTAATATTATGTTTTTGTTGTTTTTTTTATTGAGGTGAAATTCATATGGCGTACATTAGCCATGAAAATGTTCCAAAACATTTTCGTTGCCCTAAGGAAACCCCATACTCATTAAGCAGTCACTCCCCATTCCCTGCCCCCCTCGCCAGCCTCTGACACCCACCAGTCTGCTTGCTGTCCCTATGGACCAATACTCTTTTTAATTTAATTTAGTTTTATTTTATTTTATTTATTTATTTGACAGAGAGAGACACAGTGAGAGAGGGAACACAAGCAGGGGGAGTGGGAGAGGGAGAAACACGCCTCCTGCCGAGCAGGGACTCCGATGCGGGGCTCGATCCCAGGACCCTGGGATCATGACCTGAGCTGAAGGCAGACACGTAACAACTGAGCCACCCAAGTGCCCCTGGACCAATACTCTTATTACATATGCTGCCCCTCTGATATTTTCTATTTTATTCTATTTCATTGAAAAATTGCCCAAGGCAATTTTCCCAACTGATTTCCCAACCCGCTAATGCAGTGCTGCACATTGAAATCACCTGGAGAGCTTTAAAAGAGTCTGATGCCTGGGCCTCACCCCAGAGATTCTGAAGTGATTTCCGGATTTCTAGAAGCTCCCAGGTAATGCTATATGTAGCTGAAGCAACAACCACTAACTGAAGGTGTTGCCTCAGTTTGGAAAACACTGGAATGAGCCAGGGCAATCCAGGAGCATAGAGGGACACAGAGATACCAAGGTGGGGACGTGAAATTTAGATACTAAGATATCCCTCTGCAGACTTAAGGGATCAGCTCTCTGAGACAAACAGGGAGATGCAAGGCCCTCAGAGACAGCCCCAAATTACCTGCAGACGAGAAACAGAAAATCAGACAATGTAGAAACTCTGGAAGAAAGAGAAAGGTATGGACAGACAGACACAGATAGGAGGGCAGGAAGATACCCAGAAAAGGGACAGAGACACCAGCCAGGCAGACCCAGGGTCCCTTTAGTTCACCACACACTTTTCTTTCAGCTCACCCGTTCTCCAGGACCAGCCCTGCCCTTCTGGCTGGGGCCCAGACCCAGGCCCTGGGAGGCCGAGCCCCTCACCTGTCCTAGCCCCAGAGAAGCTGCCCCGCCACCTGTCCCCCTTCCCTGGCCTGGTGGGGCCTGGCTGAGGGGCAAGACTGAGCCACGGGGGAAGGGGGAATCCGTACCTGCTGCTGCTTCCTCTGTCTTGGCTAACCTCTGTCCCCCCGGAACCCCTAACCATACTCAAAGAGTTCCCAAAGCCTGAGACCAGGGCATTTGGCCCCAGCTCCCCGCCATTGCGAGTACGTGTTATTTATTGCCTGGAGGCCTGTCCAGTCCCCACTCCACCCCCATAAAGCATTGTTTACACCTGTGTCTTGGCCTCTGTTATTTTGGGGGGATTGGGAGGGAGGGGAGACAGAAGAGGTCCCTGATGGAAGAAGAACCACGTGTCATGGTGTGTGGGGGTCATGTTTCTGGATTGGCTGTGGTGTGGGGGGACACCATGACTCAGGTGGTGTTGTGGAGGGAGTCTGTAACCGCACCGTGTTGTGACAAGGCATGCTGGGGGCCCACCTGTGTAGCACTGATGTCCTGTGCTTGTGACGGTGTGTATGACAGCATCTGTAGGAATATGTCCTGGTGTGTGTGACGCTGTTGCTCGTGACTACTTTGTGTCCTTGGTGATTGTACCCATGAGGCTGGTGTTGTTTGGGACCAAGTCCAGGGAATGAAAATTCAGGCCTATAGGTGATCTCCATGCATCCTTGATGCTTGAAGGTCCCAGGCAGTGTCTGATTGTTGCGTGTGTGACTGTGCGTTTATGCCCCTGAGGTCTGTGTGTGTCTTGTGTGAATTTGGCACCCCTGATACAGCTGCGTGTGACCATGAACCCTGAGTATGCCCCTGAGGACCTTGTGGGCCTTTGTGCAACCCTGACTTGTGCATACTTGAGACCGGTGTGTATCTCTTTTGTGTCGTGGTGAACTGACGAAACTCGCAAGTGCTCTGCCAGGGACAGGTGCAGCCCCCTCAGGACACTCCCACTTCTCTGCCATACCCAAGTCAGCAGTAGCCCACCCCCAGGGTAGGCCTGAGCCCCCACAACCCCCTCCGCCGCCGCCGCCGCCCTGGCGGTGGTGGAGGGGGCGGGGCATTTAAATGACCTCATCTGCATAGTCCTTCCAGGCTGGGTCGCCCAAACTGTTCTTAGACCCGAGGCTGTTAGACAAATGTCTTCTCTGCGTACTCTGCGTAGCTTTCCTAGGTTGCTTTATTCGGGTTCCCACAATTGTCCCGGAAGGGCAGGTTGGAGCGGGTCATACTGTGGCATCCCTTCCAGTCTAATCTTCCTCTCTCAGGGATGTTCCGCACTTTTTTCCCTCCGTTACAGAAAGTACTTAAGTAAATTACTTAACTAATGTGCGCATTTACATACATTTCTCAACTAACTGCGCAGACATTTCTCTATCGCAGCCCTATTTTGGGGCTGCGAGAAGGAGGGGCTGTCCATGTAAATAACATCATTTGCATGCCACTCTCCCGCCCCGCTGAGCGTCATTCTCCGGCGGTCGGGACTCTGAGGGGTGGGCCGGCCTATGCAAATAGACGTATTTGTATGCCACTCCCACGCTGCTTGGCCTAACCGCGGAACTCCCCCCGCCCTTCCCCGATCCTGCCCTTTCTAACAGCCTTTCTCCCATAAGGGGCGGAGTGCAGTATGCAAATGAGCCTCCTGTTGGCGGCCGACCCATTTCCCCTATCTTGCGGGGGGGGGGGGTGTTCTGAACTTCCTTGCTCCGCCCCGCGCGGCTCGCGCCTGCGCACGCACCGTCTCCTCCGGGGGCGCGGTCACGTGCCCACCGGGCGAGGCGGGGGCGGAGCGTCGCGGGAGGTGGGGGCGGGGTATGGCGCGCTGTGCGGCGCTGGGCGGCTGGCACAAACGACGGCGCCGGGGCCGGAGGAAAAAGCTCGGTGAGGAGAGCTCGGGGAGGGAAGAGAACGGGGCGAAGAAGGCGCTCGAGCTCGGGCGCCGGCGCAAGCCGGGCGGGGTGTGGGGGCGCGCGCCGGCCCGGCGTGGCGGAGCGCGGCGACCCCGGGGAGGGAAGGGTGGGGGTAGGGCGTGGGGGAGGGAACGCGCCGGGCACGTTGAGTGCCGGCCGTTGGGGGGTTGGGGTGGGGGAGCGCGCGCCGGCGGGTGGGGAGAGGGAGGGGGTTCGTGGTCCGAGCGGTCCCTAGGCCCGGCTTCCGTCGCCTACAGCGCCCCGAGCGGGGAGGCCCGCGCCGAAGGGGCTTGGGAGGAGCCGCCTTCTCCCGTCCTGTCCCCGAGTGCGTGCGCCCTCCCCCGCCCTTTCCCCCGTTGCCGTGGACCCTCCTCCCGCGGCTGCCTTCCGTCTGTCTGTCTGTCTTAGGCCCTCCCTTCCGTCTGGGTGTGTGTCAGCCGCCGGCGGGCTTCCTCCCGTTGGGCTTAGGTTGACCCCTCCGCCCCGTTCTGTCCGGCTGTCTCAGGCCCGCCCTCCCAGCTTCTTCCCGGTCGGCTTTTCCGTCTCTGGGCCCCCCATTCTCTTTGTCTCTGGGCTCCCCGGTTTGCTCTGTGGAGCACCCCGTTCCAGCCGTGTGTCTCTGGAATCCCCAGGCAGATCTCCCGCTCCCCACTGCTCTAGCATTCCTTTTCTACTTGAGGTCCTCTCCGTCCTTTCTGTTTGCTGTGTCTGAGGATGCTCTCCCACAGCCCCCACCGCAGTCCTGTGTCTTTGGGTCATCTCCCCAGCCTCGCTCCTCCGGCTGCCTCCCTCACTGCCTCCTCTCTCCTTGTCCCCCTCCCCAAATTCCCATGGTCTTCTCCCCAGTGTGACCTCAGATTTGGGGGGACCGTGTAGCCAAATCTGACTTCCTCACTGCCCCTGCCACCCCTCACCTCTACCCCACTCCGAGTGCCTCTAGCTCTTCTCACATTCCTTTTTTTCCTCTCTCCCCCTTCAGCCACCCTGACGGGTCCTTTCCCAAGCCCCTAGGGGCGGCAGAGGACTTGGGGACCAGCGAGCACCCCCAGGGCGTGAGAAGAGCCTCTGCTGCCTGCCCTGCCTCACCCTGCCCTACGCCAGGCTCAGCCGCCCCGGCCCCCGGCTGCATCAAGTGGAGGAGGCGGAGGCGGAGGAGGGTGGCACCATGGGCCCGGGCCGTGCCCTCCATGCCCGGGGGATGAAGACGCTGCTGCCATGGACAGCCCGTGCCAGCCGCAGCCCCTGAGTCAGGCTCTTCCTCAGTTGCCGGGTTCTGTGTCGGAGCCCTTGGAGCCTGGTCGGGCCAGGATGGGGGTGGAGAGTTACCTGCCCTGTCCCCTGCTACCCTCCTACCACCGCCCGGGAGCGCCTGGTGAGGCCTCGGCGGGGAGTGGGACCCCCAGGGCCACAGCCACCTCCACGATAGCCAGCCCCCTTCGGGAGGGCTTCGGCGGGCAGGATGGTGGTGAGCTGCGCCCACTGCAGAGTGAGGGCGCTGCAGCACTGGTCACCAAGGGGTGCCAGCGACTGGCGGCCCAGGGCGCCCGGCCTGAGGCCCCCAAACGGAAGTGGGCAGAGGATGGTGGGGACGCCCCAGCACCCAGCAAGCGGTCCTGGGCCAGGCAGGAGAACCAGGAGGCAGAGGCTGAAGGGGAGGGCAGCATGGGCTGCAGCAGTGGCAATGGCGAGGCCAGTGCGGGGCCGAGGGAGGAGGTGCTGCCCGCCGCGCCTGAGCGCCTGGCCCTGGACTATATCGTGCCCTGCATGCGGTACTACGGCATCTGTGTCAAGGACAGCTTCCTGGGGGCGGCGCTGGGTGGCTGCGTGCTGGCCGAGGTGGAGGCCCTGAAGCGGAGCGGGCGCCTGCGTGACGGGCAGCTGGTGAGCCAGCGGGCTATCCCGCCGCGCAGCATTCGCGGGGACCAGATTGCCTGGGTGGAAGGCCATGAGCCGGGCTGCCGAAGCATCGGGGTCCTCATGGCCCACGTGGACGCTGTGATCCGCCACTGCGCTGGGCGCCTGGGTGGCTACGTCATCAACGGGCGCACCAAGGTAAGGCTGTGAGGGCCTTGTGTGGAGGGGGCCCCCAGCACCTGCTTGGTGGGCACCTGGTGTTCTGAGTATCGGCGCCCTTGGAGATAGGCTTGTGGGGTTACTAAAGGACTTGGGCAGCTCCAGTGGAGTGAGTGTTGGTGCTGGAGTTTGATTGGGGCTCTCCCTCCCTGTGGGGACTTTGGGGGTCTGTGCACTTTCTCTTTCCCCATTCGCCTCTCTTTTCATCCATCCCTGTCTCGTCTGTCGTTTCAGTCGCCTGCCTCTGGCCTGTCCTCTGGTCTGTCCCTTCTGTCTCCCAGGCAGGAGAACCAGAAGGCAGAGTGGGGAGGGTGGCAGTGGTGAGGCCCGTGCCAGGCTGAGCGAGGAGGTGCTGCCCGCTGTGCTTGGCGCTGGACTGCGTTGTACCCCCTGTGCCACACTGTGGCATGTGGGGCCGGGACAGCTTCCTGGGTGCCTGGGTGCTGGCCTTGCGGGAGGGGGATCCTATCCTTCATCTTCATTGTGCTTCCCCATGCTAATGCCTGTCCTGTATCCTTTCTGTCCATCACTGTATTCTTGTCCGTTCTGATCTGTTCCCTTGATTCTCTCTTCTGTGTCTTGTCTTGGTACCGTTTTCTTGTTCTACAGTAGTTTATGTATATATATATTAATTTTTTTTTTTTTTTTGGAACCTGGGCTTTTTTGAGAACGCTGAAGCCACAGACCCTCTTTTAAGAAAAATGCTCATTTGTCTAGCTCATGGGCAGTCATCAGCGCCTCCTGAGCCTCCAGCTGCCCATTTGAGAACCTAGGGTCAGGAGCTCTGCACAAGACAGTGGTCTTTTGGGCCTTTCTGGCTTTCTGACACAATAATTTTCTTCATAGAGGGGTGAGAGAGCTCTGGCTTTGAGTCCAAGCCTAGTGTCATTTGGCCAAGGCCCCGTAGGGAGTGCCTACTGCACGCCAGTGACGCCTGGCTGATGGCAGGGCTGTTTGCTTCCCTGCGGGCATGAGGCCGTGCTCCTAATGTCTCCTCCCTCCTCCCTCTGATCCCATCTTGGGTTCTGCCTCTGTGCAGCTTCTGTCTCCAGCTGGAGCTGGCTCAGGGACCCAGGCTCCCTCGGGCCGAGGCCAGCATCCTCTCCACCCAGCTCGGACTTGTCCTACTTCCCCCTCCCTCCCGTTACTTGATAGCTGGAGAGCCAGAGGAGGCCCTTCCCTGGGCTCTGCTCCTGTGCAGGCAGGAGAGATGAGAGATGAGTCTCCTGGCCACAAGGTGCTCAGCATCTTCACCCTAGGTCACCCATCCTCGCAGGAGGGAGTTTGAGGGGAGACC